TCTCTCTCTCTCTCTCTCTCTGTCTCTCTCGCTTTTCCTCTGTTCCCGTTTCCCCTCGCTTTCCTCATTTTTCTCCCTAACTCAATCTCATTGGCTTTACTGTGCTGGGCAGCCCAAGTGCCTGCTCCTCCTTCTGTTCGTCTTGCCACCATCGTCCCGGCTCACTCCTCACGCAATCTTCCGCTTGAGGAAGCCATAGCCGAGCTCCTGGCCCTCCTGCTGAAGGATCTCAAAGTACTGATTGATCATCGTCACCGCCAGCAGGATACCAGTGCCGCTGCCGATGGCTCCAAGGAAGTCGGCAAAGATCGTGAGCGCGCCAACGCAAAGCCCGCCGAAGCTTGCCGCAACCGGGATGTACTTTTCAAGGAGACGCGCCATATCCTCTTCGCTCTCGCGCGCCTGCGCCAGCCAGCGGCCCTCNCCGCAACCGGGATGTACTTTTCAAGGAGACGCGCCATATCCTCTTCGCTCTCGCGCGCCTGCGCCAGCCAGCGGCCCTCTGCAACGAGCCGCTTGGCCACGTCGCGCGGGCCGGTGTGGCTGATCGTCACCCACAGCTTCGAGAAGATGGCGCAAGAAAAGAGAATGAACACAACGTAGAAGATGGCATGGATCGGGTCGTTCAGCATGTCGTAGAAGGTGACAGGGGGCGTGAGGTAGTACGAGAGGCCGCCCACAGGGTACATCTGCCCGCTCTGACTGTACGCGCGCTCCTCCCAGCGGCCGAGGAGGTTGATCAAGAAGTTGTGCTGCCCAAAGCGGCGCGAAAGGATCTGGGAAAAGAAGTTGATGTTGGACACAACGCTGGCCTGCAGAATGATCGGCATGTTGCTGGTGTAAAAGAGCTTGATCATGTACGGCTGGCGGTCTGCACCCGCGTGGCGCGACTTGGTCATGAGCGGCACACGGAATCCCTGGAAGAACACCACAACAGCGAACACCACAAGTGTGGCGAAGATGTTCGTGAGATTCGGCAGCTGAGGGCGATAGAACGCCTCCTTCAGCGCACGCACCTTGTCGGAGCGCGAGACCAGGAGGTGGAAGAAGGCGATAATGGCACCCTCGAACTCCGCGCCGCGGCCAGTGTTGATCGTCGAGGGAGAGAAACTCTTCCAGATGATCGTGTCACAAATGTTCGTGGCTATGAAAAGCGATGTACCGGCACCGAGGCCCCAGCCCTTCTGCAACAGTTCGTCAAGAAGAATGCAGATGAGTGTGGCCATCATCAGCTGTATAACGATGAGGGTGCACATAAACGGTCCAATTTCCCGTACATCACCGTACATGCCAGAGGACACATAAGCTATAGCCTCCACGGCGGTGATGAGGAGGGCGGCAATCTTCTGAATTCCTTCAAACACTGCCCGCTCCTGTTTATTGTTCACGTCATAGTTGATGATCTTCACTCCAGAGAGTAACTCTAGAATGAGTGAGGCGGTGACAATAGGTGAAATGCCAAGTTCCATGAGTGTTCCCTTGTTGCTAGCCAGCACCACGCGCATCCAGTAGAATGGATCGCTCGTTTGGCCGGGCCGGGCGCCAAAGACAGGGACCTGGCAGCAAATCAGAAATATGAAAAGGGCCGCCGCTGTCCACATGATGCGCTCCTTGATAGGGGGGATGCGACGGGGGCGGGCCACCTCCGGGAGGAGGGCCAAGATGGGCTGCGCCATCATAATGTAGTTCGTCATTCTTCTAAGATTACCACTTCGAGTTGTTGGTCAGATTGTACCCTTCTCAAAGTGGGTAAGGCCACTGTTTTCCTTGTGCTTGTTGCCGCAGCACAATGAGCAAACAGGAGAAAAACAGAGAAAAAGAAAGAGAGAGGGGGGAAGGGAGAAGAAGAAGAAGGAGGAGGAACAACACAAGAAGAAAAAAAAAGAAACACAGCAGGGTTCCACGGGAGAGAAGGTAGCAAGAGATGGACATCACACTACTACGGCATAATCCGAGCAATGCGAAGATTCCACTTGCACGGCCGCCTTCGAGGACGACACCCTCAGCGGCGGCACGACAAGGGGAGAGGGGGCGGGGGAAGAACAACAGCACGAGGGATGTAACAAACCTCATAATAATGAAAAAGAAAAGCGAACACAAGACCCTACTCCCCTCTTCACATACAAACGCATAGAAGAGGAAAGAAAAATATAGATACCGTGATTTGGTTTTGCCTTCTACAGAGTAAAGAGGGGGAGGGGGGGCGTGCCGGGTAGAAATAGGCGTTACAAAGACGCTGGCGGCCCAAAAAGAAAACATCCCCAGACGCTACTCAAATATATCTCCCTCCCTCTTTCTTCCCTCGCCATCTCCTCGACGGAAACCTTCTGAGGGCACTGGGATGGGATGAGATCAGATAGAAGGACGGAGGAGAAATAAAGTCGACACGACAGAACCGGTGGTGTTGGTGCGAGTGAAAAATAAAGAGTGAGTGTTGGGTTTGTATTGAACAAAACCGTAGAAGCACCATCACATGACGCTGACCGCCTTAACATTCCCACCATAAACTAAAGGGCCACACAGGCAAAGAATTATAACAACTAAAAGGAAATAAAAGGCACAAACCACGGCAGGCAAAACAGAAATAAATTAAAAAACGGCGATCCCATAAGGCACAGCCCATGGGGCATGTGCAAAAATAAGGCGTTACCCCGCAGCCTGTTAGTGCCGAAGAGTCAAGTGGGGAATCAGAGAAAGGGTGAGCGAGCGAAAGAGAGAGAGAGAGAGATGTCTCGGTAAAAACCACGGATGTAGTTGAAGTCGATCACATTGTCTTCTTTTGTTTTTGTTTTGCTTTTCGTTCTGCTTCCTGTTGATGCTGCCTTACCGTCCCACATTCTACTCAACAGGAAGCCATGAACAGCAAGGATTAACAGTGGGAATAAGGCGGATGCAATACAAAAAGGAGGGAACGATGTGTTCTTTTTCCTTCGTTTGTTCCGGGTGTATTCTCTCACCCCACCCCCACCCCTCCTCGCTGCTGTTCCACTCTTGGTTGGGAAACGAAAGGGCACGCCGTCTAGTTCGATCCCAGCCAAGAGAAAAATAAAAAGAAAAAAAAGAGCAAATGCTATCACTTGCTTCGACGTCTCTGGAACCGGCGCCGCCTCGTGTCTTCACGTGCGAACTGAACCATAAGGAAGGGCTGAAGATCGGGTTGCCGTCGCAGCCATCGCAAACACTGACGCGCATCTCCAGGCCGCTCAAACAGCACGAACCCGCTTTGCCTGCCATAAGAGACGTAAGAACGAAACCCAGCAAAGCGCTCCGAGAAAAAATCGCGGTTCAGAACCATCTCGACAACGGCACATGCATCACCATTGTCTCTGGTAGGAGATGAAGATGAAGAAGGCAAGATGTGCTCCTCTTTTATTGATGTTTCGGCGGCCACACCACCACGCGCCATGTTTTCCCGCCGCGAGGAAGACGTCAGCACCACCCTTTCAGGGGCGGCCGTGCTAGCTGCGCCGCATGTAAATGGCGGCTCCTCTTCTTCCTCCTCCTCCTCCTCCTCTCCCAGCGTGTCCTCTTGAGATGAGAGACAGTGGTGCCGATGGTGGAGATGCGACCACATCCGGAAGAGATTTTCTAGCCTCCTCGGCGGATGTAGCTGAGGCTGTGGATGTGGCTGCTGCTGTTCTTGTGTATTTAGGGCTGGTGAAACTTCCGATGTATCCCACGCCCTGCCACTTCTCTCTACCTCTGTTTCTGCAGAGGAGTACGTTAAGTCCGTGATTGATGACAAAGGTTGGTGTGGAAACCCTCGATAACGCAAAACTTTAACGAACAGTGTACTGCTGGGAAGATCTGTGTCGTCGAGAGCAGCAAATGAACCACCAGGATCCGATAAACTCACCCGAGAGCGCCCGATATGCGACATAGATGGGGTGACGTACGTATGAGCACCTTCAGTGCAGCATCGGTTGTGGGACTGCTGCTGCTTTGGACGCCAGTGACAATTTTGCTGCGGGATTGGGTGTTGCGGGGGCCCACTGTTACCCAGTGGATTTTCCGTTTCCCTACTGTTCCAGGGACAGTCGCTACCATGTGTATTTGAGCCGCCAGCACTTCGGGAGAGCGGGCTCCGAGCGCGAACTTGCGGGACCGTTGCCATATGGTGTAATCGTGTTTCCACCGGTAAGCCCGCATGGCATGAAGATGGCGGAAAGAAACCCAACGGCGGCTGACAGGACATATGTGAAGAGAGTCTCGGTACAGTAGCGCCACCGTACCGCTCCTGATTCAACGAAGGCTGGAGTGGGGCGGCTGAAGGCACAAAATTGGGGCGGCATGTTGGGGTACTGATGGACCACTCAGCGACAAGGATGACACTGTTCAGTAGCAATTCCGTAGAGCGGGCAGGGTCACCCGCGCAGCGGTTGTACTCCTCGTATGGAACTGGTAAGCGGAACTTCGGTGGAATCGGCGTCCACGTAGGCGGCATGGAACGCAAACAGCTGGCTGCAATCTCAGTCGTCACGTCCAGTGTAGAAAACCACTGTAGTGCCCGGTGGGCAGACTCCACTGTATCATAGTCTGCAAACCCAACATCGCGCCCACCACTTCGCTTTACTCGAAGAGCGAGAAGTCCTTCTCTTGGCACGTAAGGCAACAAGTTTTGACTGTTGTCAATGGTGGGTGGCACATTTGTAATGAATAATGTTCGTATGGGCGGCAACCCCGTCTTCTGCACGAAATGCGGTGGCATCGGTCTTGGGCGTTCACTGTAGCGAACCAAGGATGGTGTCAACGACGGTGATAGAGCAACGTCAGTCAGGCATCCTCTCCCGCCATTTTGTAAAACTGGGCGACCTGCTCCACGGCCATCTCCTCTTGGCCACATGAACTCTAGCAGGAAACACCTGCAGCAACCGCCACACGATTGATCTTTATATCGTGTACTTGCCGTGCAGATTCCACGCGGTGCAGTCGTTCCTCGATGTCACGTCTTCGTAAACCTTTGGAGGAAGCTTAGTGATGGAGAATTGCTTGTTGCGAGTGTCTTTGTACACGTGTCGTCTCTGCAGCCCTCCAAGTAAAGCCTCCTTCCAGGAAACCAAACCCGATAAAACTAAAAAAAAAAAAACGTGTTAATATTCTCTGTGAAGGCACTTTCTCTTGTGGTTATTGATCGTTCTTCAGGGAAAGTGCCTGTGAATGTCTCTCGGTGTATCTGCGTGTGTGGGTGAGAGGGCAAGTCTGCGCGTGAGTAACTGAGTGTATGCCTAATTTTTGTGATGGAGTTTGTGAGTGGGAGTGTTGGCAAATGAGTGGACAGGTGCAACTATCACGTTCAACGACGGTGCGCACCTTCGCCCACTCCAACCTCACCTCGCTGTACGCGTAGAGATGATGTATGGTGCCAGAAAACCAAACCAATAGCCTTATTACCTTGTTTTCCACGATTTAAGACGAAATAAAAGCAGGAACAATAATAATAATAAAACGCCGGTTGCAGCGCACCCACCAGATGGACAGGCACAGAAAGCACGGCCAACAGTCAGTACCAGCATTTCACTGGTGCACCTGCATGTGCGCATGAGGCAAACGCAAACACACCCACACACCCACACAGACTCTCTCTCTCTCTCACAGGGAAACATAGTCACACAAGCACCTGACTCCTCCGCCTCTTCTTTTCTTCCTAACTCTCCTCCCTACTCAAGGGTGGCGCAATTCACCAAGCCACCGCATGACATTTTTTTTCCGCTTTTTCTTTGTTTTGTTTGTTTGTTTGTTTTTCTCATTCCTCCGTTCTCCAATCGCTCTCGCCCGCTATCCCTCCATTGTACCCGTTTGGGAGAGTAGTCTTTTCAACGTGACGTCCTATTCCGCTACACACTGCTGAATACATCCCTCTTAGATGGCAGAAACCACTGCCCTCGGGTTCTTTGCAGCAGCAGCCTCAACCTTCTCAGCCTCGCTCTTCATCCCAAGCGCTCGGAGCTCATGTGCTACCGCCAACGCAACGGATTTAAAGCTGTGGCCTGCTGATATTGTGCCGCCATTCACTGTATGATACGTGCGACTCGCACCCCCGACAACTCCAGCGTAGGCGAGTTCAATGTTCTCCGTGGGCGCTACATCGTTGAGCAGCACCACAGAAAGAGACTCAGGGTGCATAATGAGTTGGTTCGTGGCGGCGGATGTTCCCTGTATATCGGATGACATACCTGCAGCGTTAATCGTCTCTGCTGATACCTTTTTGAAGAGCTCGTTAATATTTTCGTACTTCGTCGCTTGCTTGACGACAAGGGTGACGCGGTTCAAGCCCGCCTCCCTGGCCTTTGCCACGGCCACCTCAGCGCTCTTCTTGAAGGACTCCGTGGCCGCCTTCACCTCTGCATCCCTGTTGATGCCAGCGGAAGCGTAAACGTCGATGGCGTCCCGCAGCTGCACCTTATCAGGCGCAGAACGTGGCAGCACCGCGCGCACGAGCACCGTCTTCACGCCCTTGTACGCCGGAGCCGGCGAAGCAGGCACATTTGTCACCGCCGTGTGAACGCCAGTAGGTGTATCTGGTCCTACAACCACTGCATGTTGGTCCGCTGTCGTAGCAGTCGTCGTGCTTATCTTCCCACCGGTCGCCTTGTTGATAATAGTACTGGCAGCCTGGAGGAACGCTGCGGAAGCCCCGGCAGAGATGATGGTGATCTGCTTGGACATGAGCGCGAAGGCTGTTCTTGATTAACTCAGTCTGCGTAGAAAGACCGCTACCAAGAAGAGGAGGAAGAACGAGGAGGTCATATCAATTTGTGCACATAGTCACACTGATGCACAGAAACAGAGATCCACACAGATATATATATAAGCACAGAGACGTATACACATATTTCTACGTATGTAAGGAAGGGCAAATCGCTTTGTGGATGTCAGAATCATTTTTGCGCACTCTCATTTCACACAACCCATTTGGGTTTAGTATGATTTTTTTTTTTGTGGGCATCCACTGGGTGAGGTATGCATCAATTCGTCACTACCCTCACCACCAGCCTCAATGCCATCAGCTTCGTCCAATACAAAGGAACAACACACTAATGCAACATAGAGAAAGAAAAAACGAAAAAAAGAAAATTAAAAAGAAAGAATGTGTATGTGTGTGTACGCGCGGTTGTATGAGCACGCAAGATAGAGACGCCAGAAGTGGCTGCAGGCCTAAGAACTACTCAGGCGCCGCTGAAGTGGGTCATTACAAAGGGCTAAATTCGGAAGCCCGCTTGTACGCTGCACAGATGCGAACGACAGCGCAGTTGGGTTTGGGTATCTTCAAGTAATAGGAGATATGTTTTGCAATCGGAGTGAGAGCCGTCCATTACTTCCTGCTTCTCATACCTTCCCATTTCTACTTGAGACGACGATAAAGACACGCGCTGGGGAGGGAAAAAGCTAACTAAACAGCCTCACATATCTGGCCTCTCAACAGAAACTCATACGTGTCCCATAACTCCATAAGGTTCATAACGGTGGGGCACATCAGCAGCGTGTGTGGAGGGAACGCAAACCCCGTATGACGCGCCAGCTGCTGGGCAAACTCCACTGCACCGCGTGTCAAGGCACATTTGAACTGCATTTCGTAGTATCTTATAATGGGTGGTACTTGGTACACATTCATCAATGGGGGAAGCTTTTTGTCGGGGAGAACAACGTAACGTGGAACCGCATCCAGAATGCCGTCCCCAGCATTGGCACGGGCCGGCCCACCGCTTTGGGGGTTTGTCACCATATTATCGATGCGGTGAAACTGTCCACCCGTCATCGTCTGATCATGCGAATAAGTCCTAATAATATTGCCCAAGTCATCGTCAACACCAGCATCAACATGGTTAGAAAATGGAGTTTCGGATGGAAGCTCAGGCTGCTGGTTAGCAACCGCAGATGCCCTTGCGGAGTCCCCAACACTCACCAACAGCCCGAGTTGGAGAAAGCTGGTGGAAAGGTCCTCCACGCAGGCATGACAGCTCTTTTCCTCCCATTCCATGCTTTGCAAGATGGCGTTAATCTTCGCACACTTCGAGAGTGTCGTGTGGAGAACGCCGTCCGCAGCACTTCGACGCGGTGACGGAAGGACGTTTTCGCCAACTCGATCCTCAGGCTCTGAGAGCACCGTGATCTTCCGCTGTGTCCACGCAATAAGCTGGCCAACACACGGGAAAGTGAATGAGAACCCCAACACCACATCGTCATCGCGCAGATGGCTAAGGGAGTACGTCAGGTCTTGAGCCTCGCACGTCACTGCCAGCGCGACTTGATCCGCAAGAACGCACTTCGAAGTGTTGTTCCACGGCTGCCCATCCATAGGAGAGTAGACCGTTAGACGAAGCGACGACACGTCAATCTCCACGCCATTATCTTCCCAAAGCTGCAGCAAGCGCAGGTACATTAACTGGTTATAGAAGGAGCTATTCAAAGGGACTGTAGCTGGAAGGTACTCCCTGTGCACCTTTACCCCCGTGGCGTTGGCGTAACCAACAAGGATAATACTCAGCCGCTCCAGATCCACAGGATGGCCGCACACAACTGCCGAGCGGGGGCCGATGACACGCGTTATCTCCACCCTTGAAAGCGGGATTGCGTGAGAAGCATCGCGCCCACACCAACTACCACTGCTTTTGGGCCCCAAATGAACCCTATTTACCTCGTCTACAAGGAGTTGCAGTGACGTCGTTGAAATATTAACGAGAAGTAGGGCAAAGCTCTGATGTGAGCAATCTTGGAGACCCGCCTGCAGAGGTTCTTCGTTCACACTATAAACCGACCCGACGTAGAAGGCGGCACGGTACATTCGTGAAGTGTGGTACACCAGCTCCTCCTCCGTAGGTGACATCGCAACAGCCAAAGCTGAAAAAATATCCTTACCACTGACGAGCAGTCCACCCCGAAGACGGAGGGCTTCAAATACTTCATAGTAGCCGTGTAGCTTTGCTGTGACATAGAAGCACGAAGTAGTGTACAGTACATGCAGCGGCCACGTTAAAAGTGGGCTTCCGCAAAATACACCATCCGGTGCCTCGCGTGAATTGCGTAGAAATTCCATTATATTGAGTTCCTTCGGGTAAAGATCTTGGTTCGATTGCAGGACACGCTCGAGAAACGAATCGAGCAACGATCGGTGCCGTCTGAAAAGAGCAGCAAACGCCCCGAAACGCTCATACTCTATTGAACCAAAAAGCCCAAAGATACCACGTTCACTCCGTGGTGGAATTTTGGAGGCCTCCGGGGAAGACGCTTGAAAGGCAACTGCAACTTCAGGCTGTACCTGCCGCCCCAACGCGAGGGTCCCCTCATTGTGTGAATCCGCCGAGAGAGCAACACCCTTAAGCGCATCCTGCAGGCACAATACGCGAGTCTCCTTTCCTTTTACAGGGCTATCGGCTCTGGCCGTGATTTCTCCTTCTTCAAGAGTACTTGCTGATCTGTTTGAGGAAGGCTGTGTCGCGCATGCCACCGAATCTCCACGCAAAGCACCAGTGGCAGCCTCTACCTCCGCTTCGAAAGAGGTGTGGCACACATTGGGCACTGGCACTGTCCGATAAAGTGTGTCCAGTGCTGAGGCAACGACATGGTGATTGCTCCCACCCGCCAACTCATTGCTGCAAGGGACAGCGTCCTTTCCCAATGGCAGCACCTGCTTCATCGCACTATCCATCCCAATCCTTAGAGGTGCGATGGTACTGCCATTAGTCAAGACGGTGTTGGCGGACACCAACGATTCTGCTGCTCGCCTCACACCCAGGTCCTGGGTCGTCATATGGGAGAGCAGTGCACCGCCTCCGAGGCTGGAGCTGAGCCGCAGGTTGGAAGGTCGCCGTGAAGAGCGAGAAGCCACAGGATTGCTGTTTGTGTTTGCCCCCGAGGGCCCCCTGGGCGATGGCTCCACCAGAATCGTCAACGACGACGCATCGCCATGTGTGACGATGTTATCGTACGCGTTGTCAACATCATTGTTTGATGCGTTATTAGAATGCTGATTCAGAAACTGATGAGGGTAATGCATGTCAATCTTGTCCACCCTCGCCTCTTCCTTGTCACCTCGATCGGAGCAGCCGGAAGCACAGAGAGAGGATCTCACGTTGTTAATCCCTTGCAGTGCTTGACACTCACAAGTGCCTCCGCGTCACAAATCCCCAGCAATGTCTTGGCTCAGTTGTCAGAAGGTCTGCGCAGAGCACCTTGTTATCTTGTAATAATAAATCAATGATGGAGAATTGTTGTCTCTCTAGTCTGTACAAGGAGCGAGGAGCGTCGGCACTCCCTTCTCCCGCTGCAACGCACACAAAGGATCGATCTTTAAGTGGGTCCTTTATGATGCCTCTGATTGCTCGCAGCGGTGGGAGCACAACAACAGTAGACGGAAGAGAGAGAGAGAGATAGAGAGAGCAACAATTCCGGGGTGAGAGGGATCTGCACGGAGTGCACAACAGTGAGGACAAGAGAATGGAAATGTAAACACAAAAAAAACGGATACTTGAATGGTGACAATTTGTTGTGTCCTCTTTTTTTGTCTTCTCCCACCAGAGTAATGGCAAACACAGACACAGATTGCGCCAGCACCACCACATCTTCGCCGAAAAGGCAAAGAGGAGGAGAGCGCCTTGCCACAACGCCTCGAGGAGCATCTGCACTGTTTCCGTGTGGCATTAATCCAGACCAGCACCACCACACCCCGCAACGCATATCAAAAGAGCAATGCCACGGCGTCGTGGTCGGTGTGCGACAAAGCGAATGAACGGTACGCATACCGACGCAGCGACCCGTCCCCACCACCACTCTTCACGGAAACAGGTGACGGCGTTGATGCGGAGCGACGCCCCGTCATGAGCTCCAACCCGGCAGGATTCCACACAATGCGGTCACACCAGGCAGCGATACGCTTCCGCACGTAATCGCGCGCGGGTGTTGCCATGATGCGTGTTAGCACAATCTGCGCAGTCACTTTGTCGCCGGTGGCCTCAGTTCGTACTACCTTCTTCTTCGTCTCCATTGTCTCCTCACCCTCCTCTGCGTTATCCCGATCATCAGACGCAATCATTCCTGTTGTATGGGAACTCTGTGGGCAATCCTCCACAGAGGTGTGTGCGTACGTTGGTGGGAAGCGAACGGCGAACTCCGCCAGCTCAACGCCACTTTGCTGCGCTACCACATCCATCAAGCGCTGCAACTCAACGTCGAACTTCTTGATAATCTCCGCATGCGACGGTTCCGAAAAGAGTTCCCAAAAACTGTCTGGCGCATGCACACCTTTCTCGTCAAGTTTGACGTCCATTTGGTTGGTCTCCTTCAAGTGCTGCAGCAGGGCGCAGGCGTCGAGACGAACGTTGAAGTCGCCGAAGACAAAGAGCGGATCTTGTGGCGAGATGACAACCAAGCACTCCGCCATCGCTTCCAGCAGCGCCTCCTGTCGCTTCAGTGTGTACGGACTCGGGCTCGTCCTTGATGCTTCCGTGTTGCGAGTGTCGTGGTATAGGTGGACGTTAAGGTAGTTCACCACCACTGTGCCGAAGCGCAGCGACGTCAGCAGGAAGCCCTTACGGGACGCGCCAGCAGTAGAAAACTTGCCCCCGTGAAAAAGGGATGCCGGTGAGCCGGTGTACGTCGCAGGGTCGTCCATGACGCTGACGAACGTGCGGTGGCGAAACGACAGTATGCTGCTGATGGGGCACATGCGGTGCGACAGGAACACGATCGTTCCCATCGCTGTAAATCGCCCTGCGTCGTTGTTTGCTTCCATGAGGAGGCCTGACGACCACCCCGCCTCAGGCAACAGCTCTTTCAGTGCCTCCGCAAAGACGGCATTGAATTCCACATCCATCCGCTTACCCCCAATCTCCTGGAAGTGCACCACAATCACGTCGAGCAGAGGTGGCGCCACCACATTGGCGGCGGTGTCATCCGCAACAGGCGACAAACAGCTTTCAGGATCCGATGGGCCTTTCCGGAGATATGCAGCAAACTCGCGGCGACTAGCTTCATGAATCAGCACACGAAGCTCGCCCACGAACTCCACCACAAAGCGCTGCACAGAGTCCCGCACACCCTTCGCACCCTCACCGGCAGACTCATCACTCCCCTTCACATCAGTAGAAGAGGGATCAATACCACCAACATTCTGCGTCAGCAGCAGCATACTGAATGGTAAATCAGATGGCGTTTCGGTCGCATAACTGCAAGAGCTGTTACCGCCTCTGCGCAACTCACTTCGCGTTGCATGGCTCAACGTATCCAAGGGTAAAGATGCCTGATCGTGAATCGTCAAATCGGTAGTCGTGTCAGTTTTAGTAGCAGCGGAGCCTGACGTCTTGAAATCCGTCGCAGCCTGCCGCTCCCACTGCTGTTGATACTGTTGCGGAATCCGCAGTGCGGAAGTAATACCATCCAGTAAACTGCGCATCCACAACTGCTACAGCTCTTGTTCCGGTTCCCACCCTGATCTATGCCACACACCCTTCGCCGTTCTTTCACTCACGCAATCCAACGGAGTGAAATTAGAACCTACATGCAACGCCAACAGAAGAAGAAAGGACATCATACACCGACAAACACGTATAAGTACAAAAGCCACAACATTCAGATTACACTCTGAACGAATCCATAATAGATCAAAAGATGAAGAGAACTTTTGTGTTTTCAGCGTTTTTTTTTTGGTGGGATTTTTCACCTCGTTCCTTCCGCACTGTCCCAATGCCGGACATCTCCTCCTTACTTGCCAGACTCCGCCTTCTAGCCCCATTCAAGCACGAACATGGCGCCTGCAATACCACCAGACGGAAGCTGTAAAAATAATACGAGAAGACATGGGGCCGCAGCACAGCCGCCACACAAGAAAACAGGAACAACTCAAAGAAGAAAAACGACTCAACCATTGAAGACCAGGGCGAACGCACCTTCAGATGTATGCCATCATATTTGCAAGGCACAGCAAAGCAGCTCGCTCATAGTTCGCCCCCCTCCCCCCGTTCAAAAAGGCCCATAGCTACAAAAATATTTTTGAAAAAAATGGACGATCATGAGGAAAAAAAGAAACACCAACAAATAAAATAACGCCTTTTCTCTTTGCAAATATATTTCTCACACCCGATGAAAAAAANCACAAAAGACATTCACACCTACACATACACACACACGCACCGTACCTCATAATTATTTACTTCCCACTTTATTATCACCCCCCTCTCAAGCTACCATTACAAGACGAATCAAAAGAGAAATATTTGCGCGCCTTCTTATAGCTTGGCGGCGATCGCCTTGTACTGCGCCTCCATGCGCTTCTTCTCCTTGAGTGCGGCGTGGGCGGCAGCGACAGTGGCGACGGGCACACGGAATGGTGAGCACGACACGTAGTTCAGGCCCACACGGTGGCAGAACTCAATTGTGGCGGGGTCGCCACCGTGCTCACCGCAGATGCCCAGCTTGAGCATCGGCTTCACGCTGCGGCCCTTCTTCACGGCAATGCGCACAAGCTCACCAACGCCCTCCTGGTCAAGCGACTGGAAGGGGTCCTGGGTGTAGATGCCCAGGTTGCCATAGTGGCGCAGGAACGAAGCAGCGTCGTCGCGAGAGAAGCCGCAGCCCATTTGCGTCAGGTCGTTTGTGCCGAACGAGAAGAAATCTGCTTCCTGCGCGATTTGGTCAGCCGTGATGGCAGCACGCGGCACCTCAATCATGGTACCGACAGTGTAGTGCACACGCCGGCCCGCCGCCTCAATGGTGGCCTCGGCCGTCTTCACTGCCTGCTGCTTCGTAAAGGCCAGCTCCTCCTTCTTGCCCACCAGCGGAATCATAATCTCCGGCACAACCTCGCAGCCCTCGCCACTCACCGCGACTGCGGCTTCCATGATGGCCTGCACCTGCATATTGTAGATTTCGGGGTACGTGATACCCAAGCGGCAGCCGCGGTGCCCAAGCATGGGGTTCATCTCGTGCAGCGACTTCACGCGGTTGCGGATCTTCTCCACGGGCACGCCCAGCTTCTGAGCGAGCTCAGCCTGCGCAGACTCCTCATGCGGCACGAACTCGTGCAGCGGGGGGTCCAGCAGGCGGATCGTCACCGGCAGACCCTTCATCGCACGGAAAATGCCAATGAAGTCACCGCGCTGCAAGGGCAGCAGCTTCTGCAACGCGGTCTTGCGGCCCTCCAGCGTTTCGGCAAGGATCATCTCACGGATCGCATCGATGCGGGTTCCCTCGAAGAACATGTGCTCCGTGCGGCACAGACCAACACCCTCCGCGCCGAAGCCACGGGCCTTGGCCGTGTCGTTCGGTGTGTCTGCGTTGGCGCGCACACCCAGGCGCTTCACCGCGCGGCACCACCCAAGGATTGTCTCGAAATTGCCCTTCAGGCTCGGCGACTGCAGCTTCAGTTGGCCCGCGTAGATGAGTCCCTTTGAACCGTCGATCGTGATGTAGTCGCCCTCGCGGAACACGCGGCCGTGCAGCGTGAACTGCTTGCCCTTGATCTGCAGGTCGCCGCATCCAGAGACACAGCACTTGCCCATACCGCGCGCCACAACAGCCGCGTGCGACGTCATACCGCCGCGGGCCGTCAGGATGCCGCACGCCGCGTCCATGCCAGCCAAGTCCTCCGGCGACGTCTCAAGGCGAACCATGATGACCTTCTTACCGCGTCCGCTCCACTCCTTCGCAGACTCCGCATCGAACACAATCTGGCCCACTGCAGCACCAGGGCTCGCCGCAAGACCCTTGCCGATCGGCTTGGTCTTCTTCGCAGCGCTGGACTCGATGTTAGGGTGCATCAGGTGGTCCACCTGCGCAGGGTCGATGCGCAGCACAGCATCCTCCTTCGTGATGAGGCCCTCACGCACCATATCGATTGCGATGCGCACGGCAGCATGAATCGTGCGCTTACCGTTGCGGCACTGCAGCATCCACAAACGGCCATCCTGCACAGTGAACTCGATGTCCTGCATGTCACGGTAGTGGTGCTCAAGTTTCTCGCGGATGTCACACAGCAGGCGGTAGTTCTCCGGCATCGCCTCCTCCATCGATGGGTAGCGGTGGCGGCGCTCCTCCTCGTTCACGCCATGGTTCTTCGCCCAGCGCAGCGACAATTCACGGCCGATCTGCTGTGGCGTGCGGATGCCAGCAACCACGTCCTCACCCTGCGCGTTCACAAGGTACTCACCGAAGAAGAAGTTTTCGCCGGTGCTGGGGCTGCGCGAGAAGGCGACACCGGTGGCCGAGCGGTCGTTGATGTTGCCGAACACCATTGCCTGCACGTTCACGGCAGTGCCAAGCAGGCCAGTAATATTGTTGAGGCGGCGGTACATCACGGCACGGGGATTGCCCCAGCTGCGGAAGACAGCGTTGATGGCGGCGAAAAGCTGCGTCATGGGGTCTTGCGGGAATGGGAAACCTGTCTTGCGCTGGAACAGCACCAAGTACTCTTCCGTCAGCTGCTTCAGATCCTTCGCCGTCAGGTCCGTGTCAAACTTCGTCCCGCGCTTCTCCTTCATGTGGCCGATGGCCTCCTCGAAGTCCTCGCGGCCGACCTGCATCACGATGTCAGCGTACATGGTGATGAAGCGGCGGTACGAATCGTACACAAAACGCTCAAGGTGGGGTGCACGGCGAATCCACGCCTCCGCTGTGGCCTTGTTCATACCGAGGTTCAGCACAGTGTCCATCATGCCGGGCATCGACGCCGCAGCGCCAGAACGCACAGAGAAGAGGAGAGGGTTCTCCACATCACCGAACTTCGTGCCCATCTCCTGCTCCACGCGCTGAACGTTTGCCTTCACCTGCTCCACCACCTCCTGTGGTATGCCCTTCGTGGCCTGGTAGATACCGCACACCTCCGTTGTGATCGTAAAGCCGGGCGGCACAGGGATGCCAAGGTTCACCATCTCTGCAAGGTTTGCGCCCTTTCCGCCGAGCAGCTCCTTCATATCGCGGTTGCCATCGGCTTTACGGCCACCAAAGTAGTAGACGTACTTCTTTGACTCCATCGTATCTTTATTAATAAAAATAGGCTTATTATTGAGTGTTGTTCTTGCGAAACCTAGATTATAATATACACAGATGCACAGAATACGAAACATATGCACGGGTTCACCATTTTGGTTGGATATCATCGACCCAACAACAAAACACACTGCAAAACACGCCGTAAAATAAGTCTATCATTCGTTTTTATGGCACGTCACACCCGCCCCAATTTATGAGTTCGCACACTAGTGTAAGTATCACGTTGCACTTAAGCTGATTCCCCTCTCCGTTTATTTTAAAATACCATCTTTCTTCGTGCAATATTTGCGCGCCTTCTTATAGCTTGGCGGCGATCGCCTTGTACTGCGCCTCCATGCGCTTCTTCTCCTTGAGTGCGGCGTGGGCG